GCGCTTTTGGACTGATAGGTGGACGGAAGGTAAATGTAAATCATTTATCAAACAATCGGGGTAGTTTTGACCCTTTTTCATTTTCTTTTTCCCAACTAGAAATATTGATTAAATTTCTTGAATGTAGGATCTTCAAAAGTTTTGGATGAGGGTGACCCATTCTCTTGTGCCAAAAATTTTCAGAGGCTGTATTTTTGAATACAGCAAAGACTTGATATTTTATTTCATCAAGTGCATACAACCCTCCATTTTTGCATCCTTTAGCAAGTGCTTTGTCCCTCCTGTGACTCAATAAAAAATTTGTTAGCATTAAACTCAATAGTACATGCATTATCATGAGCCAGTTGTCCCACATATATCAAATTCTTTTTAATGTTTAGAACAACCAGAACATTTTTAAGGTCTAGAGTACCACTTTTCGTCTCTAGTTTTCCTTCACCAATGTGAAAAATATTCAAAGTTTCTCCATTACCAATAAGAATTGTATTATTACATTTATAACGCATGACTTTAGATAGTTTACCTGTGTCATTTAAAATGTGTGTTGTTGCTCCCATGTCTGCATACATATTTGGATCGTCTTCAATTTTTAAACACATTGCAGCAAATGCCTTTGGTAGATTGTCTTCTGATTGGAATGAATGGTCCAATTGATTCCAATATTCAAGGGCAATGTGGTTGAACTTGTCACATATTTGATATGTCACAATGCTTTCTCCTTGTTGATAAGGCGAGGTTTGTTTCCAATTTAAACTTTTTCAATCTGTTCATTTTGGTGAGAGTTTGGTTTAAACCTTGCTGTTTGATTGAATCCTCTACCTCTGGAACTAAATCCGCCTTCGCCTCGACCTCACCCTCGTCCTTTTTGGCCGACAAAGGCTTGGTCATGGTGTGGCATGCTTTCTTTTCCTTCGTTGCTATTATTAAGCATCCGTTCATAGGCTTGCAATGATAAAACAAACTGATAATAAGTGGGATACGGTGGTTTGATTAGCTTAGCAGTTCGAAAATCTTGGTGTTTTGGTCCGAGACCTCTAGCTAACTGAAACACCTTCTTTGTTTCATTTACCGGTTTCTTGATTGCTGCAAAACTATCACAAACACTTTTGAATTTCTTAAGATATTCATCTAGCAAGAGATTTCCATTTTTTTAAACTCGTCAAGGTATCATCAAGCATTATTTCTTTTTCTATATTATGAGGAAGAATTTGGTCTTCAATGGATTTTCATACCTTGTGAGCCGAGGTTATATCTTCAAGGGATATCAGCACCTCTATTTCAATATTCCTCAGCAGCCAGACCTTTAACAGACCATTATATTTTGTCCAGAGAATATAAATTGGTTTTGGCTCAATTGAGGAGCTGTGCATCTTGATTGAGAAAATCCATGGGATATGGCAGCACATTGAATGAGATTTGACACTAAGTGATTGCCTCTTTCCTTATGTGAGGCATTAACCATAACTGTAGGTTGGACTTCATTCTATTCATTTCATACCCTCACACACCCGAACAAAACGGTTGTGTCGAGCGTAAAACATCGCCATGTTACTGAAACAGGTTGACACCCTTGCATCATGCATTGATTCCTACTTGCTTCTGGTCTAACGCCTTTGAGGCTGCCTGTCTTTCCCTCCGTCCATCTATCGGTTCAAAAATGGGCAAACAATTTCACCTACCTGAAAAATCCCCAAATCCACCATCAACCTTTTTTTACCTTAAATAAATCTATTTTAGAATTATTTTTTCCAATTTATAAGAATCACAAAGAAAGAAACTAATTTTTTTTCTTCATTTGTTTGTAATCATTTACCAATAATATAACAAAACATTGTGTATATACAGATATATCTATATACATACAGAGAAATCATAAAATTACCATATGTTATAAACGGAAGCAAGTAAATATATGGATGGATGCTCTGACCAATAGTTCAGGGTCAATTTTGACCCTTTTCTACTTATTTAATTGGATTGGACCAATGTGGAATTTAAATGGGAAAAAAGGCAGATTTGTCCCATTACTTTAGTAAATTAGCCACATTTATACCTAATTCTACTATCGGTCTAAATGTGTATCTACCGTTAAGATAGTAGACAAAACTATCGCTAACCCTAAGACAAGTCCATTGTGGCAATGGGACCCGTCCCTTAATCTGCCAACTAGGCTAATATCAACCCAAATTTTAAAGACTCATGCCCGTTTCTTTGACCCAACTATACCACCTTATGAGTCCCAAGATGCTAACGAACCAGAGACCCCCCTCTCCAGACCTCGTTCTCTCTTTTCTTCTCTTCAAATATGGCGAGCTCCACCAGGTTTTGGCCGGAGTTTCGGACAGAGCTGCCAAAAATATCTAGATCTGGCAAGAAAAAGTTCTTCATCTCATTTTTGTGTGCTTTTCTCCCTATGGGGTACTGAAAAGAACCCGTCGAGTCTTGGCCGGAGATCGCACTAACCGGAGTTTTGGCCGGCGAATATTTTTGGTGACCCCTTATTTTCTCTAATCTTCTGTTACTTATTCTGCTCATTCTTCTATAATTTTTACATGTTATCAAAAAATGAAAACTGCAAAGGAATTCAGCTGAAACCTTACCCACCAAAATTTCATCTTTATCATCCATTTTGGTTCTTCCCATTGAAATTGACCAAATTTTGTTTCTGGGTTTTGAGGAAAATAGAAAATGGGAATGAATGTTTGTTAATTCATGCATATAGCAAAAAAATCTGTTCAATTTAAAAGCATCCATTTAAAAGCACTATATTAAGCAACCATCTACATAATCTGTTCAATTTTTGACAGGAAAAAAAATAATCAAATACCTATCCCTCCGTTCCAATTTATGTGAACCTGTTTGACTGGGCACGGAGTTTAAAAAAAAATTAGACTTTTGGAGTTTGTGGTTTTAAACAAGTCAAAAACGGGCACAGAGTATTTGTGTGGTTATAAAAGCTTCTCATTAAGGATAGAATTGTAAGTTTAAGTTAAATTATTATCAAATTTAAAAAGGGGTCATTCTTTTTGAAACGGACCAAAAAGGAAATAGGTTCACATAAACTGGAACAGAGGGAGTATTTGTTTTAACAAAAAAGGAACCAGCATCAGTATCATAACATGTTGCACGATTTATGCACCCACCACCAATGGGACTAATTCCTCTGATCTATGTTGCCTTTCCTTCTAAAAGGATCCGTTCACGAATTGGATCATCACTCATTGCAGCCACTGTCGAATTTCATGTGTTGGGGTAAGGTGGACCCATAAGGTGGTATAGTTGGGCCAAAAAAATGGGTATGGGTCTTTAAAATTTGGGTTGATATTAACCCAGTTGGCAGATTAAGTGAGGGGTCCCATTACCACAGTGCACTTCTATTAGGGTTAGGTATAATTTTGTCTACTATCTTAATGATGAGTACATATTTGGACCGATAGTAGAATTAGGTATAAACGTGCATAATTTACTAAAGTAAAAGCACAAATCTAGCCTTTTTCCCAATTTACACTATGTTTGGATCATTGTTATCCATCGTTTTATAATGTATTGTATTGTACTGTACTGATTGTATTGTATCGTTTTATGGATACTATGTTTGAATAGATTGTATCGTTTGCTGTTGTTAAATAATATTTTGTTGTTTGGTTTGACTGTATCGTACTGTACTGTAACTAATAAGTTCACTAAAATACCCCCAATTATTTTAAATAAAATTTATCAAGAACTACACATAAAGATAGCTTAAGACAACATCTTTCTACTAATTTATGATTAATTATGTAGCTGAAAAACAAGAGCAAAAACCTGGAAAAAAGGTTAACTAATATTAGCAACAAAAAAATTAATTATAACGATGGAAAGCACAAAAGATTTAACAGAGACTTGGATAATAAGAACGGGGCAAACCAACTCTAGAAAAGATGGAAGAAGATAAAGTAGGTCAATAGGTTGGAGATTTGGAGTTAAAATAAAATAAAAAAATAAAAAAATAGAATTATAGAGTAATAAGAAAGGGCATAAATGGAAAATAAAATAGAAAACGATCCCACCACACCAAATCTGTTGTTTCATAAAATGAGGCTTTTGATTATTCCGGAACAATGGATTTAACAATACGATACAACTAATTTTAAATAAACAATCAAAATAAACATTATTTTGGAATAACAATACAATAGAGTACAATGGGTAACAACCATCCAAACAAGCTGTTAAATTAAAAAAAATAAAGTTCACCTTAAGTCAAATGTTGGGAGCATTGTCTCACGGAACGAAGAATATTTAGCGCTTGAGCAATTTTGGCCATTTTCCGTAAATTGAAATGGAAGACATGAGAATTAAAAAGATCCTAATGCAAATCTTATCCAAATCAAATCATAGCTAATAGAGGATTCTGTTTTTATCAACTCTCGAATTGGGGATGTCTGCATTTCTCAACAATGGCGTTAAGCATCTCCTTCAGGTTTATCGCTTCAGATTTCATGTCTTTTACTCAACATCTACTGCAACTTCCCGCACCAACTTCTTAGTAGAAACGCTGGTGAACTCACTTGGCTTCTCCCCACAAGAAGCCCTTTCTACCAGTGCCAAGGTAAGTCGCTTGAGACCTAGAAAATATAACCCTAATTCAGTGCTCAATTTCTTGGAACAAGTCGGGTTAGACAAGACCCATATCAAAAAAGTTGTTTCTTCAGTCCCCACATTGCTGCTTTGTGATGTAGATAAATACCTTAAGCCCAAAATTGAAGCTCTTAAAGAAGTTGGGTTATGTGGGTCGGATGACCTTGCCAAAATCATCACAAACAGTGGATGTTATTTCAGCACTAGGGTAGGGTGTGCTATCAGACAAAACGTTGATTGTCTTCACACCCTATTATTTAATGATGATTTTGTTGCTAAGATCATTAAGAGGCATCCTAATGTATTTTTTAGTTATGCATTTCATGAAGTAATGCCACCCAATATATCATTGCTGCAAAATCTGGGTTTTCAAGTGTTGATATAGAGAAGCTTATGCTTTGGAATCCTAGAATTTTGACTCAAAAGGCTGAGCGCCTCAAAGACTTAGTGGATCGAGTAGAAAAAACTTTCTTTCTTTCTCGCGATTCCAGCGTGTTCATACATGGGGTTTATGCCCTTGCATGGCTTGACGAATCGACGGTGAAAAAGAGATTAGAAATCTTCAGGAGCTTCGGGTGGTCTGACTCGGATATTTTTACATTGGTCCAAACATGTCCTCCCTGTTTGACAAAATCCGAAGCTAAGATCAGAAATAAGTTAAATTTCCTAATGAAGGAACTTGGATATGAGTCTCATTACCTGGCTTCTCATCCCACGTTTTTGACATGTAGCTTGGAGAAAAGGGTTCTACCTAAACATAATGTTTTGAAGCTACTCAGCCAAAAGGAGCCGACAAAGTGTAGTCTGAACCTTTATACTGCTGTGATATGTTCTGAGTCAAAGTTCTTAGAAAGATATGTGCTGCCTTTCAAGGATGAGATGCCCGAGGTGCATGATATATACATCAAAAGTAGAAGCCAATAGAGCATTTTGTGAGTTTTACCAAATTTACTGATATGTTGTTTCTAGTCTGTTTTTCTTTGAGCTCAAAGTTATTGTTGGCTTATATCTCATTGCTATCAAAGAGGCTAAATCATTACGTTTCTCCACGGTTGTTTTTTGTTCTTTTTCTTGAATGCTTGTAGATTAGGTTTTTGGTTCTTCGGTTTGTCATGTATTGTTCATGATAGTATTCCTCCTAAAGAGCTATTGGACCTAGTGAAGTTCTTCTAGATCCTAGAGGTAGTATCTTGTCTCAGCTTTGGTTACTCTGTAGGTATAGTAAGCAAAGGTCAAGTGACAATCAACACTACTCAGCACAGATAAAGTATTCTTAAAACAAATTCTTACTCCAGTTTGTCTAAATGATTTTCGTCTTCAGATACTTGGTGGTCACAATCATCCTGTGATACTCAATTGTAGAGTATCAGCTGATAAACCAATGAAACAGTAACAAAAAGAAGAGAAAAGAGGTACAAGAGAAGAGAATGAAACAGAGATAGAGAGAGAGGAGAGTGAGAAGAACTCAGATTTTCTTATAACATGATAATTGTGTGAATTACAAATGCTATGCTCTATTTATAAGTGCTGGAATTTGAAATACAACAAAAGGAATTACAGAATTTGAAATAAAACTGCTAACTACTTTTCCCGCCACTTTAGCTCAACTAAAATTCAAATGGTTCCACCCTTAGCCACTAATATTCGTATCATCCTGACAGTAGATTCAATTCAGCTACAAACTTGACTATCTAGCTGTACTACTTTCAACTGGACAGTCCTACACTTCTTTGCTGTTTCTCTTACTAAGGCGGAAGGAAGTCACCAATAAGGACAATACAGCAGAGATCACTCCCGAACAGATCTACACCAGCTAACTCTTTTATGTATTAGCTTAGAAATTTATGTTCATGAGTTTCTACACAATAGATAAAATATGCAGAAGGGACAACACACATTTGTCAAATAACTAGCTTTTTTGGTAAATGGAGAAGAAAGTTCGGGCAGAAATTAACTCTTGTATCTGTAAAGTCATTTCATCAATGCCAATCCCCTATCTGGAGAATATATCTTCTTGCTTCTTAAAAAATCTTCTTGCTTGCTAATTCTTTTTATTCTTTAAATGTGTTTTACACTTCGAACTTAGATTATTTGTGTTAGTATCTTCATTGTCTATGGGAGAGTATATTCTCTCAGTGTGATCAAGTGTGGAATATTAAGAAGCTATTGTTTGGCACATTTACAAATATGACGGTACTACATGTTGCTGTAACCTGTGGTTGACAATTTTAAAAGAGATCATAGGATATTGCCTTTTTTAAGCAGGGCCCAAGAAAAAAATATGTTCCTTGAGATAAACGATACAAGAAACTTTTCACTCAAATTATTCAGAAGATCATTTTTCACCGGTGTCAATATCATAGCTCTCTTTAATAACATGGTGGTTTGGACAAAACATGGGATTCAGTGACCAAAGCTACTATGGTATGTTATCCAACAAGAATGAGTCTAGAAAGGGAGAGAAAATCTACTACACCCATGTCTCTTCCTGTATCGGCCAAGGCTTTACACCATCATGACATGTTCTGAATCAAAGTTCTTATAGAAGTATCTACGGTCTTTTAGGAATGATTTCATGATTCTGAGGTGCTTCATGTATACATCAAAGATAGAAGCCATCAGGAAGATTATTTATGGTAATATGCATATTGCAGATTCTTTGTTTGTGAGGTTATTTTTTTGATATTGTTTACTTAATCCTCTCTAGAGTATTACTGCTAGTTGACAACTTGACATATGATTGCTGACCCCTTATTTACTTATTTAGTTATTTAGTTATTTATTTCGAATTTTCCTTGATGTTTCTTAATCCTGTCTAGAATATTTTCCTCTCCTTGTTGACTGCCTCTATTGATCAGTTATACTGGAAATGGAAGGTATTCGGATTTTGTTGTCCAATGATGCTTTGTAGTAAATGTGGAGAAAATAGTGGAAGTCTTATTTATTTCCTTTGTTTATTTACCTATTCTATGAATCAATTTCTCAATCGAGATAGCTTCTTGTTTTTGGCTGAAAGTACCAACTCTATTTCTGTGACAGGGTACTGTGAAATGGAGTGCCTAGCAAAAGTCTATGCTTCCTTCCATCTATTTGTCTGGCTCTTAGATTGTTGTTATTATCTTTGTGGCCTTTGTTGTAGATATTGCTTGTTTCTACTGTTTCTTTTCATCTTTCGTGAACGGGTCTGTCGGAAACAACCTCTCTATTTCTCAGGGTAGAGGTAAGGGTAGGGGTAAGATCTGTGTACACATTACCCTCCCCGGACTCCTGGTGGGACCCCAATGAGTTGTTGTAGTCGCCAGATTGATCTAGTGGTAAGAAATCATTCCTCAAGAATATGAGTAACCACAGACTTGCATGTTTGATAAATTGAAGTACTCGCATTATTTAATAAGGATTCATGTTGTCGACTTCAACTTGTTTGGGATTGAGGCATAACTGTTGTTTTATGCTTCACTATCTTACATTTTCCTTTGTCATCATGTTCAGATCAACAACACTCATCGTCGCATACTTTGCTTGTTTCTACTGTTTTTTTCATCTTTCGTGAGCCGAGGGTCTATCGGAAACGTCCTCTCTATCTTCCCAGTGTAGGGGTAAGGTCTGTGTACACACTACCCTTCCCGGACCCCACTTGTGGGACTCTATTGAGTTGTTGTAGTCGGCAGATTGATCTAGTGGTAAGAAATCATTCCTCAAAGTATATGAGTAACCACGGACTTGCATGTTTGATTAATTGAAGTACTCACGTTATTCAATGAGGATTCATGTTGTCGACTTCAACTTGTTTGGGTTTGAGACGCAGTTGTTTTTATATAGGAAACATACTCCACTATCTTACATTTTCCTTTGTCATCATGTTCAGATCAACAACACTCATCGTCACATATTTTGCTTGCGAGCTTTGATCACCCCAGATCAAATTCAATTTCAACTTCTACCAATTGGTTTTCATATTTGTTGATATGAGTTACTATTCGCAAATTTCTTTTCAACATCAATTGACATCCATTTTAAACAAATAGAAAAAGAATGAGGTACTTTTGGAACCTTCCATCATGGTGCGAAAACTAATTTTGTTTTTATTTATTCACTCCAAAAAGAATGATACACTTTTATATATGAAAATAATTTGAATTTTCTTACTTTTAATAAGAAGTTTGTATAAACATACAAATATTATACTCCAGATTTAAAGTTTAAAATTTCAAAAATCTTAAAATCACACAAGTATTATGGCATGAATATATATATATATATATATATATATATATATATATATATATATATATATAAAATGATGTGACTTTTTGAGTTAACAAAAAAGATCTTCAAGCGAGTAGTAGCAATACTAAAACCAACCCGTTCCTTGAAGCACCATATATTTCTAAGTCCTTGTTGTTGCGTAAAATAAAATAAAATCCTTGTTTTAATAGATCCTAAGTTCCTAATTATTGTGCATAATAGATCAAGAGTAGTTGTGAGTTAAAAATCTTTTGAGCTAGCTCGAGTCTCATCATGTTGTGTGATTTAACCAAATTTTGAACTACTTTTTGGAACTTGCAAGTTTGATGTGTATATATAGGTAACTTTTGCCTAGGGATGTACAAAGGAAATTGAAAAATCGCATTAAACCGATAATCCGAGTCAAACCGAGAAAAAAGACCCGATTATGGTTTGGTTTGATTTGGTGTTAGAAAAAAAAATCCGACCATAATTGGTTTGGTTTGGTTTTAACTAAAAAAAGCCAAATCGAAACCAAACCAACCTGACATTACATGTATACAAGTTTTAAAATATTTTATACATAAAAATAATTATTGTAATGTAATTTATAAATATTTTTTAACCTTTTTCATAGTTCTCTCTTTTAATGTATTATTTCAAGCTTTGATTTAAGACTTTTGAATGGTCAAATATGTTTTATTGCCCATAAAAGTTAGTGACTCAAATAAATTCCAAAGCAAAATCAAATCAATAAAAATGTTAACAAAAAAAATTCAATTCAATACTAGGAATGACAATAGCATTGGATATTTATTTTCTTAGTTTTTCATAACTTTAGATAGTGAGAATACATAACTTACTTTTAATATTATTTAGTCATGTATTTAATACTTAGTACTTATTTTAACATGATTTAGTACTTTTAGATCATATTTATTTTTATTATGGCTTATTAATTAGCAATATTTATTTTACGCGATTTGTTGACTATTTTAGTATAATCATGACTCATCTCACATTACTTTGTATTATTTTATTGGGTAACATCTTATATAGTTTTTATCTTACTAGGACCTAAGAAATATTAGAGCACAAATTATAAGTTTTATGCTATGAAGATTTTGTCGTAAAAAACCCAAAAACCCCGAAAATCGAAAAATCCGAGAAAAATCGAGATTGAAAAACTCGACTTTTGTTGGTTTGGTTTGCTTAATAGATTTAAAAATCCGAGACAATTGGTTTGATTTGGAAATTGAAAAATTCGAACCAACCCGGTCCATGTATACCCCTACTTTTGCCAATGAAATTAATGACCGATGCATTTCCCTATAATTTTAATGGTTTCTTTTGATAAACAAAAGATTTATACTGCCTCCGGTCCAAAATAAGTAATTTTTTAGCTGTTTTCACACAGATTAAGAAATCCACCTTTTAACATTAATTAGCAATGAAATTGACCATATTAACCTTTACTCTCTCTTCACATAAATAATCCTAACACATACTCCAACACTATTTACTCGAAGGGCAATGTAGGAAAAAAATAATTAATTCATTCTTGAAATTTGGGAAAACCACTTATTTTGGACCTAAAAAAAAGGCCGAAAAATCATTTATTTTGGACTGGAAGGAGTATTTCTTTGCAGATTTCTCTGCTATGGTAAAAAGACTTCAATCATAGGTCAAAAAAAGAAAAAGAAAAACAAACCTCAAAGTTGTGAATAGTGACCCTAGAAAAATTAAATTAACAACTTTGAACAATTCTTATTCACTAGTGAGAAAAAAAGAAGTTATTATTCACCAATAAAAATATTTTCAAACCTGGAGACACCATTGAAGCTTATAATCTGATGATATCAATAGGAGTGTTATGAAACAATAAAGGAAGAAGAACAGTATTGCAAAGAAAAGTAGGGAGAGAGAATTCTTATTGATTTGAGATGAATTACAATAGAATAGAACCCTCTATTTATAGGGAGAGGGTGACTTAGCAACGAAGCAATGAACCCTAGAATCTCTCAAAATATAGACATTCACCATAAATAAAATTCTATTTATAACACTCCCCCTTGAATGTCTATTCAACAGATAATGTGCCTCGTTAAAACCTTAACTAAAATAAAACCCAGTGAGAAAAAAATTCTAATATAGGAAAAAAAGTACACATATCTAACAATACGCCTTTTGGTTGTCTCGTTAAAAACCTTGCAAGGAAATCCCAGTGGGACAAAACCTTGTGAGGAAAAAAGAGTACAACGCGTATTAACTCCCCCTGATGAGAGCATCAATTCACACCCTTAAGCATTTGCATTCCAATCTTGTGCACCATCTTCAAAAGATCGTTGGTATAGATTTGATAAACAAATCAACCATATTGACTTGAATGAATATTTTGCACCTTGAAATCATCATTCTTGATAGAGATGTAATGTCTTCATATAATGTCGTGGAATGACTTTTAAATATCTCCATAGAGGTATTCTCGCTATCACATTATCATGCTTATAGTTATAGCAAGATACATATGTGCACAAATTGCACTGAGGATGTGGTACTTCAAGATCGAGAATTGTGTATGCTTCAAGCAATTTAAATCCTTCAAGGATTGTCATATAAGTCATATAATAGGCTTTAGTTAGATGCATATCAGGTTTTCATGTCACGCTAGACAAATAAGATATCGAAAACTGATTGCACATACCATTGACTTTATACTTTCAAGTGTTTGAACTGCAGGTCCAAATACTTGTCTTTCATATGAAACCAATTCTATTTGAATTGTCTCTCTTCTATTTGGCCAATATTTTTTGTGTCTATATTCGACAGACTTAAGATCCTCATCTATACTTAGCGCTATCATAGATATCGTCGACGAATATTTTATATCGGTTTCAACCTCCTTATTTTTCATAAAGACATAACTTGGAGATCTCTTCATTCATATATTCAGGTACCTGAATCTCTCATGAGATTTTATGAAGTGTTATGTCATGTGATCTTCTAGATCACTTGCCTCCTTTATTATGATCATTTTAATCATTTGCTCATCTTCTTTATCAAGAAGTTTATTTGAAACCGATTTGTCTATACGCTTTAAGCGTACCATAGATTTTGTCCTTCTAGGACTTATTCTAATAGGAGCATTTGCAGGAGTGAGAATATAGTTACTTTCTTTGGGCCAGTAAATGCGTACGGACAGCTTTGCAATATATTGCAAATGAATTATCCTTTCATGAACTTCAAGTTCATATTATCTTATTCGAGGATCTAGATATACAAATGATAATTCATTCCACGTAACTTTTTCTCAACTGTTTATCATGTCTCCACCTCATGTTAGAAAAACTAACTTTCTTCCTCAATTTTGGGAACCCATCTTTGTGCATTATAGTGTTAATCAAAATATACACCGCACATCAATAATAATAAGATGGAATAATTTGGTTCCTGACCCCGAACCACTTGTGAGGGGAGAAAATAATATACTTTCGTATATAATGTATATCAAGCTGATATACAAAATTTTGTTCTCATAAGCAATTGTTTAGCTATTAAGTGGAGGCACTCAATAAATCATTTTTCTAAATCAACTGTGATGTAAACCAACTTATCAAGATGAACTATCTTGAATAAAAAATCTGGAAATTATGCTCAAATCAAATTATTGAGCAAGCTACCTCGCAAACACCATGTTGCGGGTTAATAATAATCGCACATGTAACCATCTCATAGATGCATCTTATGTGGTATACACGGCAGGTGAATGAGCCCATATTCACCTTTGATATTTCCAGCATTCATGGGATTCAATCCCAATTTTAGTTGATCTATTAATTAATGAGAACAAGCAATATAAGAGAATTCGTAAAGAACTTTCTAGTTCTTTAATATTTACCCATGTGAATTCTCTATTATTTTTGCACATCATACTTAAAAGATATGACTAAACCAATTATGCCAACTGAATAAATTATCAATATTGATAAACTTCAGATTTACGCCATGACGTGTGCAATTATCAATAAACTCCAAGTTTATTATGATATGAGTTTTTATACCAATAAATACCCACTTCATTGTGGTATTCTTTTGTTTATGTAGTACAAATTGAAGAATAAAGCGGGTAGCTTTTCACATATATATTACCCCGCTACAAGTGTAGTAATAGAAGATATTAAATCTTTCCTTTATTTATAGTCTCAATATAATCAACCGCTTTCGTGTATACTTTGGAAACTGAATAAGTTTCTTTGAGACTTACTACATCACAATACCTTATTGGTAATTAATTGTGTTTCTCCAAAATAGTATAATTGGCTCTTGCAGAGTTCTCAATTAATCTTGTAGTACCACATATTCATCAACACCCATATGGTGAATATCTCTTTTAAAGAGAAAGTTATACCATTATGGTTATGGTCAAAATTATATGCAAGATCTGTTTCTTGCATTACCATTATCTTTTAACAATCACAATGCCAAAATATTTTGGCGTACAATAGGTACGTGACCAATGACCATTCATGCCATAATAATGACATTAT